GTTTAGTTCCCTTTGTTACACAGTCTGGGCTCTTTAAAGCAAACAGGGCCGGGGATTTAGCTCAGTGGTTTCGCCACCTGCTGTGCAAGCACAAGGACCCAAGTTCGATCCCCAGTACCAAAAAAAATAAAATAAAGCAAACAACAGACATTCAACAACATTTATTGAGATGGAGCAACCTATTTAGTGATTACCAACCTGGGCTCTGACTCCAGACTGTCTGGTTTGAATCCTGGCCCTGCCTGTTACTATTATTACTGCCCATTACTATTACTATGACCCTGAACGAGTTACTTAATCTCTCTTTACATCAGGTTCCTCCTTTGTAAATGAGAATAATAGTAGCATCTGCCTCATAGCATTGTTATGATGATTGTGGAGGTTAGGGGTAGAGCACCTTATAAAATGTCTGGCACACATTAAGTGGAAAGCAAATGTAGCTATTACTGTTACTATAATGAACAAAACATAGTCCCTGCCCTCCAGGAGTTTAGAGACTAGGAAGGAAAAAACATAATGAAATAACTGTAAAAGAGCAGTAGCTGGTTGTGATAGACACAGGGAGAAGGGTGCTCTGAAAAAGGCTTGTAGTAAATATCTCCAAGGTAAGGTGAGTGCCAGGAGAAAAGAGATTCTAAGTAGAAGACTCCACCAAGATAACCAAGCATAGCATAGCAGGCAGGGTGCCTTACAGCAGTAGCTCCCAAATCGTTACTCAGAATTATTATTCAGTTTTTGGTCTTATTTATATTTTAAACCAGTTTAAAATTTTTGGAATACATTTATTTAGAGCAAACTATGTCACATAGAATCTAAATCAGAGGTTGAATGGGCAATTCTAATACACATTAAAATAGTCACAACTAATAAATATGTGGAGTGTAGTTCTAAAATTACCACTCCAACCAAATTTTGGGATACCTGCATTAGGGGAAACTTCTCACTAGAATCAGAGGGTAAAACACCATCAGCAGCACCTGCCAGCCTTTTCTACATGGTAGACACTCAGTAATGAATTTCATCTCAGCACTTTGTTTACAGATGAGGCATGATTTTAGGCTAGCTTCCAGTCATGTTTCCTTCCAGACACACCTCATATTTTCTCTTTCCTCATTCTGGGATTTAAGGGTTAAGGAGATGGAAAGGAGCAAAGAATTTCAAGAAGTGTCAATCTCAGAGGAAATGTTATAAAACCTTAATTGTAAAGGTTCTGTAGGAATAGACTTCATAGCCAGTTGAGACTGCAGTTCAGATTGTGACCCTCTAAACAACTGAATGTTCCAGCCTAATGTCCAAAGGGAACTCCCAACAGACCCCATTATTTCAGATCAATCCCTGACGCTAGTGAAGGAAAAGTGTTACCTACCCTTGCATTAGTCTTTTTTTTTTCTTTTTTCTTTTTCTGGTCCCAGGGATTGAACTCAGGACCTTGCGCTTGCAAGGCACCGCACCACTGAGTTAAATCCCTGGCCCCTCTTGCATTAATCTTGAGAGAAATAAATGTGGCTTCAAGCCATTAAATGCACAGGGAGGAGAAGGCAGTTTTTGGGAGAAGGCAGTTTTTCTAAATGTGTTACCCTCTGAGAGCAAAGACAAAAATATAAACCAAAAGGAAAGGAGCTTTAAATTTTTTTTGTATATGACTGATTCTGTTTCTGCAGCTTGAAATGTTTTCATTTATTCAGCAAACTGATTATGTACCAGAGAAGGTGCTAAGATTTTAGCAGTAAATAGGATTGCTGCAGTCACTGTCCCCATAAAGTTTAGCATCTTACTGGGGGGAATGGATATTAACCATTACTTGAATGATGAGTGCTACAAAGAAGAATTGTCAAGAGCCATAGGAAGGTACAACAGGAGACCTAACCCAGTGTGTATAGATTGGGAGTGAAGGATTTCCTGAGCCATCCATGTCCCTGGGAACTGAAGGGTTTGGTCAGTAAAGGAAGAAGCCTTCAGGAAAGAGGGAACAAAATGAGAATGTGCCCCTAAGGCAAAAAAGAAAAAATCATGGCTTCCTAAATAACTGGGGAGGTGGGGTACGGACAGTAAGAAAAGAACAAAAACAAAAAGAAGCATTTTTCTTACCATTTCTGTCAAGACTTGGAAGGAAGTGGTTGGCTAGATTTGTCAATAGTATTCAATGGTGAATACAGCTTTAGACCCTTCTCTCTGGAAATCTTTGGGACTTGGGTTTTCTGGGTCACCTGATGTTGAAGAGAGAAACATAATCTGTCAGGATTAGTTTTCAAAGCACACACTAAAGTGTTTTGAAAATAGTCCTATTAAGTACCAATTATTAATGCTGCTTATTACATTGAATAACATAATTGCAGGGCTTATGTATCAGATTATGGTATATGGTGTATGCTTCAATTAGAGTTTGAAGCAGCAGTTTGTAGATTAGTGAAAGAAAACCAATAAAAGTCAGGCTTTGGAGAAGTTTACTGTGGTTTTAATATGCTTGTCTTTCGTCACTTTCCACTACAAGTATCTCGAAGTCAAGGAAGTTTCATCTATTAATGACTGGGAAGTGAAGCAATCATTAATAGCTGTCACTGCCCCTCACAGGAACTGACTCACTTATTTTCAGATGAAACCATGGAGTTTTAGGGAGAGCTAGAAACTCAGAAACCTGTTTCCTTACCAGGAAAAATGTGATCATCTCATCTGGGTTTTTATTACGCATGATGTTCTCTCTTGCTGTTTATGAATTCCTTTTAAGCTTTTTTCTGTGAAGCATCATGGACTTTAGAATTGGTGCTGTACATAAATTCTATCTGTTTAACCTTTGAATTGGGTGTAGTGCTTTCAAGTTTTCATCAAAAGTTAAACCTTGGTTCGTTCTTCATTGCTCAAGAAAAGTCACCAGGGTAAAGTAAGTAGAAGGGAGCAATCATCTTCAAAAGAGAAATTTTGCATAAGGTGATTCCTTGAAGTCACCTAGCATACTTAAATAATCATAGCCCCTTCCAGCTCCTATCATTCTTTAGCTGCCACATTCTAATAAGCGCAGGACCACCCCAAAGCACGTCAGCTCCAGGAACCACGCCTTCTCTTCAGGCTGGAAATGGATCATGGTTCCAGATGGCAGGGAGCAGCCTGCTTTCCGGTCCTGATGAGCCTGTTTGAGGAAAGCTCGGGACTCATAATGATAGTGCAAGTGGTTGGCCCTGCTAGTTACTCACCACATCTGTCATCTTCCCAGTCTGTCCTCTTGTTGAGGGAAGTACAATATTCGTTATTCTAAGTCTGACTAAGCAGAACCCTCCAGTGGTAGGAACTTTTTTTTCTATTTTTCCAGAAATTTTAGGTATAGAAATGTAAATAATAAAGAAATAGGCAGAGGTTTTGACACAAGTTAAAAAAAAAAAATACAGAGGGCCGGGGATTTAGCTCAGTGGTTTCGCCACCTGCTGCACAAGCACAAGGACCCAAGTTCAATCCCCGGTACCAAAAAAAAAAAAAAAAGATACAGGAAACAACTAATGCATATCAACAGAGTGTAGTGGGATATCTTCATACTGAAGCCTGAATTAGCATTGAGAATGTCTGAACTAAAGCTACATGGGACAATGTGGATGAATCTTAAAATTATGATGGGCAAAAATGCAAGTTGCATAAGTTTTATATGTATAGCATGATATATATTTATGCATGATAGTGTTCAGGGTAGCAATTCCTTCTAGAAGAAAGGAATTGGAATATGATTTGGAAGGAATACAATAGGAGTTTTTTGTTTGTTTTATTTGGGTTTTTTGGGGGTTTTTGTTGTTGTTTTTTTGAGGCAGGGTCTCCCTTTGTAGTTCAGGGTGGCCCTGAACTCACTAGCCCAGGCTGGCCTTGGACTTGTGGTGATCCTCCTGCCTCAGCCTCCCAAGTGTTGGGATTACAGGCATGTGCCACCACGCCCTGCAACAGGAGTTTCAACTATATACATAGTTTATTCTTCAAGGTTTGTTGAGGAAATATAATTAGGTCAATTCTCATTTAAATCCTCTGGAAATAAAGCTGATATTTCAGAGTAAAAAAAATTATTCATAAGATCTTCAGTCATTAGAACAGTTTTCTTTTAAAATTTTTATCAGTACATGTTTTCAGTATGTAATACAGTAACTACATGCATTGTGGAGAGTTGGTACATGTATAGAACACATCTCAGTTATTCTTACTGTATAGTTCTTTTTGGACAAGAGATTAGATAAATACTCTCGAGAAATATTTTCTAAAAGGTTATGATGAACTAAGAGAAATTGCAACCTGAGGGCCTCTAGGTGGAACTGAGCCCTACCTACTTAACTTTGTTTGACCTGCATGGTGTTGACATTTCAAATATACTGATTTAGTCTTTATGAGATTTCATATTATTAAAAAATCTGGGTTGCCAACTACTTTATGCTATCAGAAAATCTGGCATCATTAGGCCCTAGTTTTTAGTTGGTAGGAGCTGGCTGAGTAGCAACTGTTCCCTTTTCAGGGGACTGTGTCCTGTCCATTTGGCCACTGTCTCCAGCCAAGTTCCCTCGTTTATGTAGCTGGCCACACCCTGGAGGCCTTGTGTTCTCAACTTGTACACTAAGTTCTAGTTCTCACTTAACTAGAAAATTCAGTTATCCAAAATGTACCTTCTCTGAGGTACCCAAGTAGTGATACAGTTTTATTAAATACCACTACAAAGCATCATTTCTAAGATATTCTGGTGAGACTGGTTTTAAAGAATAGTAATTGTGATTTTTGGTTTTTGTAGTGTTTTTTTAAATGGCCTTTCTGACAAACAGCATGGTAGACCAACCCTCAGCCATGGGATGATGTAAAAAGCCAATTGCGAGATCACTGGAGTTTCTCTTATGCCATTCTGGCAGTGCTATCCAACAGATCTGTTGAGAAAGAACAGTTATTCCTAGACTAATTAAAGATCTTGATTTTTTAAAAATGTACATCTGCCTACTGTCAAATCACATTCTTACACAAATATTCTGTCTATTTTGGTGGGTCTGAAGATGACAACAGCAACACGACAAGAAGTTCTTAGCCTCTACCGAAGCATTTTCAGGCTTGCGAGGAAATGGCAGGCGGCATCAGGGCAGATGGAAGACACCATGGAAGAAAAACAGTACATACTAAACGAAGCTAGAACACTGTTTCGGAAAAACAAAAATGTAAGTAGGCCCCTATTGGAGACTGCAAGGAGGAGAATAGTTTCTTTTGGTGCTAGTTCATTTCTTTTCTGACTTAAATGCAGAGGAGTGAGTAGAAGTTGCAGTGGCCCAGGCTGGGACAGAAAGCAGCCAGTGCACAGCTAGACTAGCTTCCCCAGCCCCTGGAAAGTCAAACTCAACCCAAGTTTCTCTTTTCACTTGTTCTAGGTCTCAGTCCAGCCCATAAGTAGCTCAGCATCTTTAGAAGGCCTTAGGAGTGAGGGCAATGGGAGTTTTCAGAGAAGTCCTTCCTCACACACTGTGCCCTCTGCCGGCCACACCCACAGGAGGTGTGCAATGTAATGTTTGTTCCAATTCATAAACTCATCAAAGCCTCCAAATATAAACCCATTCAGAGGGAAAAGAATAGCATTAAGAAGACACAAGTTTCCCTTCACAACTTAGCTTTGAACTCCTCTGGCTGACAGAGTTAAGTTACCCTTTGAGACTACAAAAATTAGTGCCTCCATTAGCTAGTTTAATGGAACTACACACCCAGACACCAGGGAGCCAGTTTGACCCATCCCAACAAACTATAAAGCTTTGGCTGTTAGCCCCTTGGGAAGATGGCCAGGCATGAAGCATGGAAGGAGGCTTTCTCGCTTGACTTCTCTTCACCCTCCTCATTGATCTAATGGACTCAATGGGTCTCTGTTTTCCCCATAAAACTTCCAAACAAGATTCTGTCACTACTTTCTCTTCCCTGACCTCTGCCTCTGTCTCTTTTCACCCTATCTTCTACATATTCTCTCCCACCAGAGAGGGTCCTCTAAAGGTAGCATTCTTCCCTGAGGACTGTGCAACCTGCAGCCGCCTTATGGCTTTACCTCTCACATCCGGACACCCATCCCTGCCCTGTAAGCAGCCACCTGAAGGACCTCACCACAGCCTAATAGTCCAAAATTGGAACTCATCTATTAGAGCGCCTTCCCTCCCAGCCTGCCCATTTCTGTCATAGCTCCTGTCACCACTCTGGAATTCTTTGTCCTCATTAAACAGGTAATTCAAGTGCCCACCATGTGCCAAACCCTGGACTAGGCCCTGGGGATATACAAATGAGCACAACCAAGACAGGATTCCTCACAAGATTTTTCAGTTAGAAATATAAGATATAAAATTACAATTCAAACAAGTGCTGCCAAAGAAATCTTTCTAAAGTACCTCCCCCTCTCAGGATCCATGAAGCCCCCATGCTTTACTCTTTCTTCTAACCTTTCTTTCCCTAGCCTCTCCACAGTCTCTCTTCTTATTGTAGACCAGTGCTTGCAAACTGAAGTCGATATACTCCATGAGGTCCTTACACACACAGTCCTCTGAAAAGTAGAACTAAGATATTATAGGTGCTATTTCTATTTTTTTATTCTTAAAATATCTATTTTGTATATATACTTAACGATGAACTTGTTAGTGCATGTATACAGATAGTCCTTATGATGGTTGGAGTTGTAATTTCTTGGCTTTTCAATGGATCAGAAGCAGTAAGCATTCAGTAGAAACTATACTTTGAATTTTGAGATATTCAGCACTTAATTATAAAATGGATTTTATATTAGATGCTTTTGCCCAACTGTAACTAATACAAGTGTTTAAGGTAGACTAGGCTAAGCTATGATTTCTAGTAGGTTAGGTGTGTAGTATTAAATGTATTTTGGATTTGCAGTGGGTTTATCAGGCTATAACCCCATCATAAGCATCTGTAATTTACAAATTAATACATTGATAAATTGATAAAAGTACACATGTGGGAGCTGTGGGCTCAGAAATTTTTTTTTTTTTGGTACCAGGGATTGAACTTGGGTCCTGAGCTTGAGGGGCAGGCAGCGCAACCACTGAGCTAAATCCCCAGCCCAGAAATTTTTTTATTGAAAGGAATAAGTGATAAAAATGTTTGGAGACTCCTAAGTATTTGGTCATACACTTATTTAGTCTTTGTTTCTTTTGTGTTGGGATCATTTTTTTCAACCATGTTATCAGCTCCTGGAGCACACAGACAATGTCTTACGCTTTTCTAGTATATTCCATGAGACCTGCCTTATTTCACTGAATTAATGAATATTTACAAATACTTTTATTCAGTTGACTCCAGGAAGTCTTCCTCAACTCCTCTGCTCTTCCCAACACCATGGTGGCCACTTACTCAGAATTATATAGCAGTCATTGCTCTTGTTAATTATATACCACTGTTCCATTTCTGTAGCTTCATGTATTAGAGTTGTTCTGCACAAGTAGTAGCTTTGATAGTTGAAAGCAGAGACCATAGACCTCATAGTATGTGCCCATTAAACCTTTGCAGACTTATTCACCTGAGGACTGCTCAAGACTAGGTTTTTGGTTATTGCAGGAATCCTTCTTTGCCTCTATTCGGATTGGTAAAATGGGTGACAGTGTACATGCTAGAGGGCAGTGTACATGCCACTGATGGTACATGAAATTATTTGGGGGCACACAGAGATGGTACACTAGTTTCTAATGTTAAGGTACATATTTGTGTTGGTAGGTATTTGAAGGCAAAGAGATTATCAAACCAAAATTTCACAAATAGTATTGCTTAGGAGAGAGTTCATTTAAAGAAAAATTTTAATTTTAGTATATGTGGCATGTGGATATGGCAGAATCATGCAGGGAGCCCAGGATTGCTTAAATTTGGAGTAGTCTAGCTAAGCTCATTCATAGGGACAGCTGCAGCCCCAGTAGTTCCACACCCTTTAACCATATCTTTGTTAAGGGGTTTTCTTTTTTCCCTAATCCCTCACACAGACACACATACAAGGTATGCTCAGAAAGTACAATGAATGTTGTTTTATTTTTAAATTATTACAGTAAAAGATACATGTCATTAATTGTCAAAATAATCCCTTTCCTCGAATACATCCCATTGTTCTTGCCACTTTCTGAAGCAGTTCTGAAAGTCTTCCTTCATGAGGGTTGCCCTGTTGTGCTGTTCTGGCTGCCTTGATGTCCTGAATCACTTCAAAATGTTTACCTTTTATGGTCATTTTGACTTTGGGGAAGAGCTAGAGAAGTTACATAGTGCCAGATCTGGTGAATAAGGTGGATGAAGACACATTGTAATGTTTTATGAGCCTGCCTTTCTGTTGGATGACACTCCACAACGTCACTCACTGTACTTTTAATCTAACTGTATAAAGACACTCTGGAAAAAGGGCCTCCAGAACTGCTTCAGAAAATGGTAAGAGCTATGGGATACTCATATTCAAATGCAAGAGGGGCTAATTCAAGGGGGACTGAGGGCAAATGTGCCTTTTCCTGTAATAAAGTTTTGGAAAGTTTAGACATTCACTGTATATTTTGATCACATCTTGTAAACAATTTGTAACTTCAATTCCACTGAGTTTAATAATCCAAAGGTATATCATTAATTGTTCTGAATTCCAGTGGACAAATGGGAACTTGGGAATTATTCCCAATGTGGATAACAGAGTAGTAGCTTCTGAGAAACACGGAGGTCAGAAAGTTGAGCCTTTGCCCCAGGGGACTCAGCTGTGATTCTCTTCATTGCTGTTCCTGGAATTCTTCCCCTCTACTCGGAGAGGGACCAAAGAGAGGAACTCCCTTGGAATTTCCAAGCCACGTGGGCCCAGTCTTAGCTGTGGGTGTCATCATCTGAGGCTGATGCAATCCTAGCTCTTGTTTTTTTTCAGTGCTGGGGTTGAACCCAGGGCCTCATGCATCCTAGAGAAGTGTTCTACCATTAAGTCACCTACTCACCACCCACCCCCAACCTCTCTCGCTCTACTTTGAGGCCCAGTTGCAAGCATAGCATTCCACATGTTGATTCATTTTCCATCCTTGGAATGAAAGTTTCTCCCCTTCTCCTACTTGGCTGTTTTTAAGATGAACTTTTTATTACTTTACATGAAAATAGACTACCACAATTTGACTACTTTGAGATTTTATTTGGTTTTTTTTTTTTTTTTTTTTGGTACCAGGGATTGAACTTGGGTCCTTGTGCTTGTGCAGCAGGCAGCGAAACCACTGAGCTAAATCCCCGGCCCTACTTTGAGATTTTAAAAAGCTCTTTTGTTCCCTTTACTGAGCAATGGAACTTACCCTTGTCATGTAGATTATTAATAACACGTAGATTATTCTCTAGTATCTTACTCAGTGGCTTTCTGAATAACACTTGCTAAAACAATTGGGTTAACTTTAAAGTTAACCAAAATGGGGAAGGTACAAAGAAGCATTGTCATTCAGTGTTGGTGGGAATATAAATGTACAGATTGTTGGTGGAAATAGAAATTGATGCAAACAGTGGTGAGCTATGGCACACATGGTTTTTCTTTTAGAACAAAAGATGTTAATGTATGAGTTTTTTCTAAACTAAAACCTCACTATTCAGGTTTAATTGCAGTGTTGGCACTTTGAGGTAAATAAGTGGGCTTTAGGTTGCAGTTTTGGCACTCAACTCATCATTGCTCTAGAAAGTAGTTTGGGAATACTGTGAGGATCAAAAAATGCATGTAACAAATACTGTTTGTCCTAGAAGTTCTCTAAGGGTTTATCTTTTAGATGTATTTGCATGTGAGCCAGAAAAATTCCAGAGACATCTTTAACAGAATTGTTTATAATATAATGGCAAAACATTGGAAATAACCTAAGGGTCTATCAGTAGGAGATTGGTTAAATTGTAATAAAGTCTTACGTTGGAATTTTATGGCTTTTAAAAAGAATAAGACTGCTCTGGATATATGAATACACAAAGATCTTTAAGTTATGTTAGTAAAAAAGCTCAGAACTAAGTGAGCTATCATTTGTGTAAGAAAAAAGCTAAGTCTCTCTCTCTATATATATAATTTATATATATATATATATATATATATGTATGCGCGCATAGAAAATCCTTGGAAGGATGCACAAGAAACTGCTGATAAACTGTCCCCAAGAAAGGGAATTGGGGGACAAGGGTAAGAGGAAGACTTAGTCTTATCATTATATCCTTGGGTATTATTTGAACTATTTTTACCATGTGTATGTATTACCTATTTTAAGTATTTTAAAAGTTTAATCCATAGTAAATTTTAATTTTAAATTATTTTACATTTTTCAAAGTATCAATATTTAATTTACTGGCTAGTGAGCAACAAAAGTTTAGGAAAATGTATGCCTGTATTTATGTATCACTAGAAATACATGAAAACCTCACTTGTTTTCCCCTTTTAATAGCTGACAGACACAGACCTGATTAAACAGTGTATAGATGAGTGCACAGCCAGGATTGAAATTGGACTGCACTACCAGATTCCTTACCCAAGGCCGGTAAGTGCGCTTCTGTTAAGAGGTGGTGGGTACTTAATGCTTGCCAACCGAGTTATCTCCAAGAATGTGTGCCAAGAGGGCTAGAGCTTGCCAACAAGCTGAGAGCACCTGTAGGAGGCTTGTTGGAAACAAATTACCCTGACGTGCCACCAACCCATCGTGACAAACTAAGATGTCAGGGCACACCTGATTTCTCATCTATGTATAGCTTTCTCACACATCAAAGGAAAACCAGCTCACATATATAGTTTTCTCTTTTGACCGTCACCTTTTCTATAGAAATGCTTTTCCCCCCTTATCATAAAAGGCAGATGTGTTGTTACTAAAAGAATAAAGTCCGAACATTAAAGGAATGAAACCAGGCATGGTGGTGCATGCCTGTAATCCCAGCACTTGGGGGGCTGAGACAAGAGGATTGCCTTGAGTTTGAAGCCAGCCTGGGCTGCATAGCAAGGTCAAGTTAGCCTGAACTACATAGTGAGATCTTGTCTCAACAACAACAAACACAAATAAACAAACATTAAAGGAATGCATAAAACAGAAAGTGAAACTTGTCAAAAATTCCCACCCCATGGAGGTGACCGCTATTTATGTTATATTGGAAGTAATTGTCAATATTCAACTCTTTGACCTATAAAAGCAGCAATTTGATACTGTGTTGGCTCAACCTAATCGTTTGGTAATATATTATATATATGTACATATATGTATTTATATATTCTTCACATACGTGGGATTCTAGGCATACTGTTTTACTGCCTACATATTTTACTTTGTCTCCTCTGAACAACTTTGCATACAGTTCTACCTCAATCTTTTTAAATGTTTGCATTGTGTGCTATTGTAAGAATGTGCCATTATATTGAGGTGTTTCAGAAAAACAGAATCAGTGGCTGGGTATATATAAAAAAGATTTATTATGAGGAATTGGCTCACAGTTATGGAGGCTGAGAAGTCCCATGATCTGTCATCTGTAAGCTGGAGACCCAAAAGAGCCCAAAGGCCCAAGTACCAAGGGGGCTAAAATCCCAGTCCAAGGACAGGAGAAGGTAGACGTTGTAGCTCCGAGAACCCCGCAGGTAGTAAAAGGAATTCCTCCCTTCAGCATGTTGGAGGGTGCCATCCACACTGGGAGGCAGTCTGCTGAGTCTGCTCCTGGGGCACTAATCTCTACAAGCACCATCAGCGATACACCCAGAAATGATGTTTAATCTGACCCCATCAGACTGATACATAAAATTAACCATCATAGCCATAATTTACTCAGCTCTCTATTCGGAGGCATCGACGTTGGTCTCAATTTTCCACTACGCACTGAATATCTTTGTACACACATGTAATTTTTTCCTCTCCCTTGTTTGGATTCCTGTCTTGCTGTGTGATCAGTGACCATTAATTTCCTCCATTAAGGCAATATACAGAGAAGAGCACAAGCTTTGGAATCAGACAGATCTGGGTTCAAGTCCTGGTTCCACCACTTAATGTATAATCCTGAGCAAGTTAGCTTCTCTGAGCCTCCATTTTCTCTTTCTTATAGATACTGGAGTAATATTTTTTATGAATTTATTGTAAGGATCAATGAATGCAAATATTACAAAGATTAATCAGTGGTAGTTTTGCACTTAGCAGCAGCATAGTATTTAGTAAATCCTCAAAGAATGTAGGTGAGAGCAATGAGTATGAATTCTTAATATCATCATTCTTGTGATTCAGATTCATCTACCTCCAATGGGCCTCACCCCACTACGAGGTCGGGGACTTCGAACTCAGGAGAAACTGAGGAAACTTTCCAAACCAGTGTATCTCATGTCTCATGATGAAGTTTCCTAATCCAGAAGCAAGTATATGAAAATGATGACCCAACTAGATCTTGAATGTAAGCCAGATAAAATAGCCCTTCTCCTTGATTAGGGGCAGAAATTCAAATATCTTCTTCAGACCCCCAGAATTATTCCTCACAATGATGATGCGTGCCTCAACATCCCCAGGGCTTGTCAGGGTCTTGTTGCTTGAGCAGATGACATTAACCCTAGAGGTCATGGACCTTACATCCTCACTGCAGTCACCTTTGGAAATAAGACTGAGGGCTTGGAGGAAGGCTAAAGATAATAAAGCTGTTTATGAGAACCCCATTCACCACCCATCAGCTGATGCGAAGGAACAGGCTAGTTCCTGGAAGTTTTTGTGGCTACTCTGAAACATGTACCAGACCCAGAATATTTTTGAGGGGTTTTTTTTTTCCTCCAAGTTACATATTTTCTTACAACTTGGGGTTGTTGTATGTGTTTTTATTTTTTGGGTGGTCTTTTGATTCTTCCAATTTCCAGATAAATTCCTTAAAAGCACATCTTTAGATTGATCATGGTTTTCCATGGAAATTTTTTTTTTTTTGGTACCGGGGACCAAACTCGGGTCCTTGCGCTTGCGCAGCAGGCGGCGAAACCACTGAGCTAAATCCCCGGCCCTTCCATGGAAATTTTATAAGACACCAATTTCCCCCTCCCTATACACAAAAGTGCATGCCTTAGTAAATGTGTTTATTTCTCTTAAAGCCTGTGATTACTTAAGATGACTTAGGATCTGAAAAAACTTCCTTGAAATTCCTACTGCTTTCATTGTATTTTTCTTTAACATAACTGAAAAATACAAGGTCTGAGCTAGTTTTCAAATTATATCTAAACAGAAATGGAGCAAACAGAGATGAGAATCCTTGGCGAGTTATTTGTATGTCAGTGTTACTACGTCTTAACTTCAAAGAGAGCGGGTATCACTAGTAAAGACAAATCTCTACCAATTTTGGTCTCTGTGTTCTTTTTCAAATGGGCTTTTGACTCTGAGAAGCAGCCCAGGGAAGCTGCCTCCTGTGAGCAGGAGCATACTTTATTATGCTCAAGGTAAGTATTGCAGAGATGGGGATGACTTAGAGAACAGAATGATATTGTACCAGTGGAGTAATAGCACGTAAATATTTCACACAATTGCAGCCATAACTCTGTGGTGAAAGAAGTAAATATGCTAGCAGGTGTGTTGGCCACTCAGTGAGCATTTGTCTCAGTTTGGCTTGAACAGGGAGACAAAAATCTCCCAGTCCTTTGGTCTCATTGTAGAAGCATCTCCATGCCCAGAAGTGCTTCTGACGTTTAAAGTATTGTCCATGCAATATAGGTTCTTTGAACTCAAGCCAACTACTTAATCTGGTGGTCAGCCAAGGAGGTAGTGATCTATTCCTGCAATGGAGGAAAAAAACTGGCTGGAATGAACCAAATGAGACGTAGCTTTGCCCATCTCCAGGACAGTCCCTTCCTAAGTGACTTGAGGTGATTGTGATGTGCAGTTTTTGCCTTGCTCTACTGAATGTAGAAAGCACCCTTCTCACACAGCCTTCTCAGTGGTAGAAGTCCATTTAATTACCAAGCAACTTTGAGTATCTCCGATGTGCCAGGAATTTTATGTCTCCAGCCTCCTTTGCAAAGATGCATATTCTGTCACTCAGTAGCAACACCATCAATTCACTGTCAAGCTTTCTTTGTAACCTGTTTTATTTTTAATAGCATTTTCCCTCTCTTTTCTCTCAAGGACAATAAAACCCCCATCTTCAGCCGTTTCAGGTAGAACCGACCTTCTGTAAATCCCCTCCTTCACTGTACTTTTCTTCCATCATTGAGAAGAACTGGATAATAGCTGTTTATTCAACAGCTAGGTGTGTTAGAGCCAGGACTGGCTTGCTGACCAGCTTTGTCTGATGTCATTTGCTGAGCTATTTTACAGGCAGGGCTGCTGCTTCTCCTGAGCTGATCTCTGGCCGTCTCTTCCCCAGGACTCTCCAGCCTCTAACTCATCATAATTTCTGAAGAGCATATTGCTGTTTCCCAACAGGAGACATTTTTTACCACACTGGGCGCAATTGAAAATGACTTCAAATTTAGGGCAATCTTTGTTTTTAAAGTGGAGGAAATTTTCTAAATTACAAAAATGTAATTCATCATACAGAAACATTCTGTCTCTTGACCCCTGAGAAATGACATGGTTTTGGCCTCCCTTAGGTTTTTTCACTGCTGAAGCTGGAGTTAGATAACTGTAATTAAAATTCAGTTGTTCTCTCAGAAGCCCTCTCATTTCCAGCCCTTTTACAGCTCACAGTGTGACTTACCCACCATCCAAGGTGAGGGGTTGTGGGATCCTGACCATCTTTTCATCCTACATGACTCACCATCTTAGTTGAAATGAAATAGCAGTCCCCACTATCTGTTCATCTTTTCCCCACCACTCTGGATAAAGTTGCCCCCACACCGATCCTCTTTTTTTTTTGTTTGTGATCTAGAGTCTCAGTACATAGTTCAGGCCAGCTGTGGACTGTGTGTGTAGCCCTGGCTGGCCTCGAATTTATGAGCATCCTCCTGCCTCACCCTTCCAAGTGCTGAGATTACAGGTGTGTGCTACCATGCCTGTTCAATTGTTTCTTTCTTGAAAAATATCTATTAAGCTAGTTACTTTAAGTTGTAGATTAGTTTCTCCTCACTGTCTTTATTGCCTTGCTGCAAGATTCAGGTAGTCTATTTCCCTTGCACTTTAGTGATTTGCTGATCTCAGAATTCACAGTCCTCAATCAGAATTTGGTTCATGCCATAAAAAAGTCATAGTGAAGTTTTCAGGAACACATTTACTTGGTCTTCAGAACCACCCCCACCCCTACCCCCCATTCAGGAAAAACCAAAGATCCCAAGTCAGGATATTTGTTCTGGTGAAGAGGTTGAGAATTGAGGCCAGACACATTAAGACAAAGCCTTGTGTCTGGTCATTGTGTAGTGACCAGTGGAACACCCTGAGAGAAGCCACTTAGAGCCAAAGAGCTCCATGAGTGAGTGAGTGAAGATTATATCAAGTATGTGATTTTTATCTCCCTTTAGAGTCTTCCAGGTGGCCCTGGGGAGAGATTAGTGATTGCAATTTCTTGAACATAAGAAGTTGGAGGCACCCCTCTCCTCCAGAAACTTACGTCAAAATAAAAATATGGGGAAGTGAAAAATGCAAGGATGCAAGAGCCAGACACATCTGGGCTCTTAAACCTGGCTGTACAAAGTGAAGAAATACTCAGTGATCTTAGGCAAGTTAATTTCTCTGAGCCTCCAGAGGGACAGACAATCACTCCCAGTATATAGGATCAAGTGAGATGTCTAAGGCCTGGACTCAAACCCTGGCACACGATAGGGCTGCAACAAATTTAGTTCTTTCATCTTGCCTTCCTGAAGCTTTAGCCATTGATGTGGGCTAATAGAAAAAGCAATTGGGTCCCAGTTCTACCACTAACTAGCTGGAACTCTGCATCTGTAAAATGGAGATAATACCTCTCAAGACTGTTGTACGATGTATATTTTAAATATCTCAAGAGCCTTAAAAGTATTATCCCAAGACCCTCTCAACCTCTGAGGAGCCTTGATGATTGCCCATGTGGGCAAAGAAGTGATTGAAATTGTGACAGCTGCAGCAAAATAACAGATAAAAAACAAAACTCGCAAGGGCTGGGTATGGTGGTGCACACCTGTAATCCCAGCACTAGGAGGCTGAAGCAGAAGGATTGCAGCCTGGGCAATTTAGCAGGACTCTTACACACTAAAAAAGGAGGGTGGTTGGTGACGTAGCTCAGGGTGAAGGCTCTGAGTTCAGTCCCTAGCACCCTCCCCCATACCCATAGGAAAGGTTGAATCCCAGTGGCTATGTTCAAATTTTACTTTAGTAGCTGCCTGATTTACTTATCTATGTAACATTTCTGCAGCCATACAATGAGGATAATAGTAATAATCTACTTTATAGGGGTGCTGTGAAATACTTGGTTCACAGCAATTGCCCAGATAATATAACATTAACATCATCATCATCACCATCATCATTGTGTTATATGACTCTCAAGAAAGGAAGGCTGGGCTGTAGTGGAGAGTGAAATGCTGTTTACTTTCTGTTTTGAGGCAGATGCCATCAGTTGTCCAGTTGGCACAGGGAGGCCACGCCTCGGTTTATCCAGTGCTTCTGGGGCCTGTCTGTTGGAAGCTCGATGGAGAGGACATAGTTGGTAGAGTGGCCTGTGGTGGAGAGGACACCCCTACGGGCACTTGTTTTGTAGACCGGACACACATAAATGTTCTGCTGCAGAAACAGTGCACTCTCCCCAGGTTTCAGCCAAATGATGGGCAACGAGTCATAGAGAATTTTGGGGAGAGATTCACCAATCTGCTTCGTTTTCCTGTCCCAACGGGCACCTTCTAGGAAGAGCCCTTTTATGTAGGCCCCATCTTCTGGGTTACTCTCCATGGCTGTTTCTTGTGTAGTCACCTGGAAGAGTGGAGAACTGTGAGTCCCATAACCTACCATCTTCCTATACAAGGCAAGAATGAGAACCACCCGGATTCAACATGTGCCTCTGCCAGGGTGCATCTCAGAGGACAAGGGGCTTCTGTGACAGTATTTCTGCCTGCTGCACATAAACCAGGTCTCATTCCTAGCTGGCTTCTGCCCTTATACATGGGGGGCATGGAGAAAGCACTAAAGTAGGAATGAGGAGGCCACATTAAGTATAGCCTAGTGCTCCTATACATCCCTTGCATTTTGGGAGCAGAATCTATGAGGTGCGAAGTTAGATTCTGATTCAGAGGCAAGCTGGCAAAACAGTTATGGGGGTAGCAAGAATAAATCTTTGATTTGACGGGTTTTGCCAGTTTTGTAGTGTAAAACTTCTACCATAGTTGATTTCAGGCTACCAACCAAGAACTAGCTCACAAAACTAGAAGAGTAAAAACTGGCTCCAGTGAGCTGGAGTGAAGTGTGCTCCGGCACACCACTGGTTAGATGGAGAAGTGGTAAAGTCACATTCCTTTCTAGTAGTCTAGGATAATAGGGAACGTGTGCGTGTGTGCGTGTGTGTGTGTGTGTGTATTGTGAAACAGCACAAGCTCCAGTTAACATCAGTCTAATTCTATTTTTTTGTTGCTGTTTTTACTGAATGGAATGTTTTCCCCACTTCTAAAGTCTACCTAACTGCATTAACATTCTTCCCAGTGAAGAGACCACCACGTTGAGTAGGCAGCATGGGAGGATGTTTTCCTTTTCCTTGGTATGATGGTGGCAAAATTCTCCTCTGGAAACATTCCTTTTTTGGGTTTTTTTTTTCTTTCAAGACAGGGTCTCTTTATGTAGCCCAGGCTGGCCTCTAACTCACAGCAATCCTCCTGCCTCAGCCTCTGGAGTGCTGGGGTTACAGGCGTGTGCCACCATGCCCGGCAAGATTCCTTTGTTTTTTTTTTAAAGATTCCTTTTTATATACACAGAGAGAAAGGCTTGGGAGTCCTCTGCTATGTAGAGAATAGTTCTTGGAGCTACTCATGTTAAATACTTAATATGTAGAAGCATGTGGACCTAACATACCGAAATGTTTGCACTTACAAGGAAATGGGCAGTATTGCTTTCTTTGGTTGGTCACTTGAGCTGTTCTAACTCAGAGCACCTTACCTCAAACTCAAATCCAATGTGGTCAATGGGGATGGTATATTTCCGGGCATAATTCTGAGAGACACCAGTCAAAAAAGACTGTGTGAAGTAGAATCCAGAGATCCAGAAGACCACAGGGGGCCCCTTGTCAATCCATTCCTGCAGAGCCATAGAAATCAGAATTCAAAATCAACAACACCAAAGATAGTTCAAAGGTAGATAATATGAATAAGTCCCACAAATACTCTATTTCTCACTTTTTGGCTTAACTTACATTTTCCCACTTTCACGATGAAAGTACAAAGAAATACATTTCTACTTTAAGAAAAGCACAGGTACAAGGTGTTGCTGGGAACACAGTAGAGAGTAATGGCGACTGTAGAAGAGGAGAATCCCTCATGTCCAAAATGAGCAAACAGCCACTCATCTCCAGAAATAGTAGCAATTCGCAAACATAGGCACATTGTTTCAAGACTTCTAGTTTTGTTTTTTTCAGGAAAACATCTGGTGTTTTGTTTTGTTTTGGGTGCTGGGGATTGCACTCAGAGTCTCACACGTGCCAGGCAAGCACTCTACCACAGTTATATCCCCAACCCCTACATCTAGATTTTGATGTATAAAAGTCCAATGTTTACATGTTAGCTCAAAAATTTTAAAATTACCAGGCAGCCAAACAAAGCATATCCATTGGCCAAACCTGTCCCATGAGCCACCATGTTTGTGACATTTATTCTGGTTCCCACTTTTGTCTCTATCGACTAGGATCTTCCCAAGGTCTTTCGAGTCTCTCTTCCATCCCCAGCTCTGGAAAGACCATTTCAAGGTGCTCAGTCGGGATGCTGCAATGGCTGCCAGCCCTCCTACCCTGTCTGGTTACCCTGATTCCCAGGTACCTGGAAGAAAGCCAGCCGGGCCAGTAGGTCAGCCACATAGCCCCCCAGTGGCTTCAGTGATGGGTAGGACTTGGCTGCCCACATGTCTGGCACTTTACCCATGAGCATGCTGTTGAAGACTTCCTCCAGCTCTGAGGACATCAGGACCTGCCCTTTGATAGCTCGGCCAAGATTGATGAGGCTACTTCGAACCACTTTGGTCAGCCTGCAAAATAAAAGGAGCTGGCTGAACCTGGCTTTCCAGTGGTCCCATTCTATCTAAATGCACTAATTCCAGGTCTCCTTTCTTCTTTTTTTTTTGTACCGGGGATCGAACTCAGGACCTTGCATTTGCAAGGCAGGAGCAGCGCCACTGAGCTAAATCCCCATTCCCATTCTTTTGTCCTGATTCCCTTTGAAAGGTCATTGAATACATGGTCATTCATTGAGAAGAAATTAAATTACCAATTGCATCACCACCTAAAGACAACTTTGATGTCTATCTTTCCAGATTTGTTTACATGTAAACACAAGTCATTTTTAATAGGGTCATCCTATATCATCTTTTTGTAATGTTTTAATTTGAATAGAGAAATCTTTCCAATTCAATAAATAAGTGACTTAAATTACCCCCTTTTTTTTTTGGTACCGGGGATCAAACTTGGGACCTCATGCTTGCCAGGCAGGCAGCAGATCCACTGAGCTAAATCCCCAGCCCTAAATTACCCTTTTTTAATGACTACAAAATGTTCCATTTTATTTAACCTGTTTCTCTACTACAGAAACATTATTTCTAGATTGTCATTGTTTAAGAACATTGCTAGGAAAATCCATATCAATCTTTATGCAAATTTCTAATTATTTTCTTAGTAAAAGAATTTCTAGGTCAAAGGACACATACAGTTTTAGGGGTTTTGATCCATATTGCTAAAGTTTTTCTTTTTATAGACTATGAGGTGTACACATGAGAAGAGGTGACCAAAGGGCAGCCTGTGAGATGCCAAGCTCACCTGCCTCTTTCTGGCCTCCATGTTCTGAAGCCCAGGCCAACCCAGAGGGTACCAAAGAATCTACCACTGCTGTCATCTTTGGTGAATCCCAACCCAGTGAATATGAGAATGATCAAATGCAGAAAAGCAATCCCTGGATGTATAATTGCTAAATATTCCTACTGGGAGAAATCCAAGGTTCGGATACTTGGTCCACATGCTCACTGAGGAGCCAAGGGGGGAAACTACCACAGGGGATCCCACCACGGGTCTCTATTATACCTACAGACATACTTACTTCTAGTCTTGCAACTACAAACCCTGCTAGTTTCAAGGTTTTAGTACTCAAAGAAGGAACACAGGCGCCAGAAGACACAATAATGCCTCTGCAAACTGAAAGCTGAACTGTCATTTAATCACTGGACTTCCTGTGTCCCTGGATGAATGAACAAAAACAGTAGGTGGGATAGACAGTGGAGTAATGCTGAAGGTGAAGCTTGCTGTTACCCTGCCTCCCTGTATTCAGTGGCCAATGGTAAAGGCTAGTGAAGTTCCCCGTGACCACAAGGAGGGACCCCAGTGGCTGTAGGGGAGAGCGGGTAGTGTCAGAGGAGGAAAGCCATGAGGATCAGTATCTGACTGGATGGATGAGGCCTCCAGCCCATCATGGCAAGCCATCTGATTCACAGCAGAAATGGCTTCATCCTAGGTTCACATCCCATTTTTTCTTCTGTCCCTCATATAGCCAACTGCCTATTGACTCTAGAGACTAACCCTGAGACCACAGAAGCAGAGATACTCTACTCTCAGATGACCTTTCTCCAGCTAGTCCTCCAGAGCAAGTCTCTAAGAGTGAACCGTGACCCAGTGAAGCAGAATGGAGACAGCAACACAGTATCTGGAAGAACAAGAACCGAGACTTGGAGGCAGAAGTGATGAGTTTTAAGCCTTCTTGGCACTGAGTCACTTAGATTTGCGTCAAACCACTGTCATCTCTGGGCCTCAATCTCCTCATGTAGCCTACATAGTCTTTGGTAACTCTGTTTTGACTATTTAGATAACAGATCAAGGTGCTTTCACTAAGTTTTATGCTGTCACAACTGAAGGAGAAGTGAGAGGGATGAGAATAGAAGCACAATAGACTCTTGGCTCTCTGGCCAGCCCATAACACCCCAACTATGTAGGAAAAGCAATGGAGAACATTTCCTGCCATTTGCTACATTTACCCTGATTTTATATACTGTACATGGACTCTGGAATCAAGACAACCTGGGTTCAGATTCAGTTATGCCATTGAATAACTATGTGACCTTTGGCAAGCTACTTTGCCCTTTTGAATCCCAATATTGTATTACAATGGCCAGTGGTCAAGACTACTAAAAGCCCCTGCAACTACCATGGAGGGACTCCAGCAGCCTTAGGGGAGACTGAGTAGGCTAGGAATGAACTCATTAGGTCTGGTGTCTGATTAGATGAATGAGGGCTACAGCTCATCACACCAAAATGAGATTTCTCATCTGTGCAATGGTGGTAGAGAGTAACTACATATTTCAAAAGACTGCATGATTTGAAAAAAATCCATACACAGTGCTTGAAACCATATCTGGCACTAACAGCTCAATAAAAGTAGCTCTGATTATTTAATTTTAACTATAGATGTAACGTGAATGAGTGAGAGGGTATGAGTAGAAGGTGTGATTTAGTCCTGGGCCAGCACATGCTGAGGATGAGTCTATGTACAGCTCTCCCTAAGGATGGGGCAAACCATTTCCTACATAGCAACACTTATGAAGTGTCTATCTCAGCTACCGCCTGTTAGATCCTACTCCATCATGCTCCAACTCCCAGGATCCAAGTGAGATCATCAGGCCTACCTGTTGAATCTGATGAGCTCCTGCCTTAGGACAGTGTTCATGGACTCCTCATAGACCACAGGATACAAATTCATGACCTCTTCCAGGTCAAAGTCTTTGGGAAGCTTGGAGAGTACGTCCTGAGCCAGCTCCTCAACAACTTCCTTTGTGCAGAAAATAGGTGAATGAGAAATAAGACCTGTAGGCTCTGGCACTATTTGGGAAACCTGCAGTAATCTTTTTAAACAGTCTATCAAATCTCTCTGGGACCTCTCCTATAGAAGCCAATTCTACCCCCAGGGAAAATGAGGGCAAGCATCACCCTACCAGTTTTTGGGGAGGGCATCACTCCTTTGCCCCAAATTAAAATGCAAAAGAATGAGAGCCCTGTCTTCACACTTGGGGCCAGGCAGGGAATTCCTGCTCAGCCAGGTGCCAAAAACCACTTCCTGTCTTAAGGTCACCTCTGGGTGAGACTCTCCCACAACTGTCACAGTCAGCTGCTTATGACCAGCTCCTGATATAGATGAAACTCTTTCTCAGTGCCTGCGATCTGCTGTCTTCCCAAGTGACTTCCTTCCTTCCATCTTTCCTTCCTCTCTTCCTTCTGTACCTATCATGATTTTACTGGTTTCTACTTATAATTCTGTTGTGCAGTTTTTAAGCAAAATAGAGTTAGTTTTTAAACATTATATAATGAGTAGAGGTGATATATGGATATACAAAAAAAATCATGAAATTTGTACTGGAATAGTTGACATTTTGGAAACTCTGGCTTTCTTTCAGCTCTATATTTAAGGACTCTTGTCAGGAAGACCAGAGGGTCTCCCCACATGCCCAATCCTACCAGGCCAGCACTTTTCTGACTTACTGGTCATCACACATAATTGTATGCCCCCTATATGGAAAACTGCCCTGGAATCTGGAATCTGGATTATGTCTGCTCCTCCAAGCCTGTTTACCTGAGGTGACTTGCCACCCCCTCCTGACTGTCTAGGGAGGGTCAACAGCACCCCTTGGAAGAGCTGATTGGTTTCCTGGTTGTCCTTGGTGATGTCGGCATTCTCATGGAGACCAAATACTTCTGGATGGGCTGAGATGGGCAGAGTCCTGAGATAGTTGATATAGGACTGGAAAGGAAATCTTTAGTTGGCATAAATGTAGGGTCCCTGCAGTCCCACAGGTGCCTTGGGGTTTGGCTGGGTCCAACTCGAGCACGAACCGCACTGTATCGGTTGTCCTGCCCACCCCAGGCTGCGTGAATATACCCCAAGCACCCCTTATAAAGTTTTCTGAAGAGTGTGAAAGCAAATGGGGCTATCTTCCTCCCACAACTTCTTCCCCTCTGCTCCCCTAGTAGTCTTGGCTTTGGAGTTAGATGGAACTAGGTTTGGATCCTAGCTCTATCACTAGCCAGCTGTGGGATGTTGAGCTAGTCACCTGAAACCCCAGTTTTCTCATCTGCAAATGGGAAGACAAGGTCATAAAGGAACAATCGATAAAAGTAAGCTTTTTCTCGTCCTTCTTCTAGATTTCTTGTTTTCATCTTCTGTATCTCCTTCATCTATCCAGTTTTTCTGTCCCTCCCCCTTTGTCATCTTCTCAACCTTTGTTTTCAAGTAGCAATTGCCAGGCTGTTCACTACCGAGCCCTCATCTTTACCATCCTTCTCTCTCCCTCCCCAGCTACCCAGATGGGCCCCATATTTTGACAGACCTTGTCTACTAAATACCTAGCATTTCTTGCACACAAAAATATTCCCTGAAGGCCTTTTGGAATGTTGAAAGTGGCCTATGGACTCAAGTGAGGAAGCCAAGGCTATCTCTGGGCTCTCCTTGGCCACCCGGCACCCCCCACCTATACAGAGACTTCTGAGCCCCTCTGGAGACAGCAGTACGCCATACATCACCTGGTAGGAGCCATAGGGAGGGATGTAGTAAGTCTCTCCAGGAGCGAGACAGTAACGGTCCTGCTCGATTTCCTTGCAGTAGAACATGGACAGAAGAGACAGCAGGAGACGCCGATCTTTGTCATCAGTCACTCTGCCTCCATAATTACATTCTCCTGGAGAACCAACAGGGGAAGAAGTTGAGCAGAGGGAAGGTCATCATAAATTTGGTTATTAACCTGAAACAAGGGATTCTTCCGGCCAAGGAGCCCTCTGGAACAGGGGGCAGCCCAAGGACACAGAGTTGCTGATGCCATATTCAGCTTGAGATGAGATGGTCTTTTGATATTATGATTGCTACAAAACTAATACATGTTCTCTATATTCAAAACTAGAAAAGAGGAAAAAAAACAAAGAAAAACAGTACAATCAGTAAGAATTCCACAAAAGATGGCTATTATTACTTAGGCAGCTTTCAGACTTTTGCTTCTGTGTATGTGCATATGTGCATGTGAACAGCATTACAAAAATGTGTTTAGGGCAAGGACTTTGGAATAACACAATCCCGAGTTCCTGTTGCAGCTCTGCCACTTACTAGCATTTTCCTATTGGTCAAAAAGTAGATAATTGCAGTGCCCAGCTTACTATGCTGTGGTTAAAACTAACCAACACAATATGTGTAAAGTATTTAGTGTGGTTAGCCTATAAAAAGCATTCATTTAACTACAGCTATTACAAATACATATATTTTAGAAAAATGAGATTTTCCTATATCTATTATTTTGAGATAGCACTTTCATCATCCCCCTGCCACTCCTCATCATTAACATCATTCTGAGATCTGGATGTCTACACTCAGATCTACAAAAAGAACTAGGTAATTCTTTGGAGGGGATGTCAAATCCAATTCACCGTCTCCCCAGGATGCACCTTCTCTCTGGTCCAGATCCCATATGGCTGTCACCTGGTATTTGGTAGTTGGGGTTAACACACTAGGTCTTCAAGGAGGTAGGGGTGTGTGTGTGTATGGTTCACACACAATGGTGGACTTACTCCCAACTTTAAGCATTTCAGGAAAAGGAAGTAAAAATCACATTGAGGCGTAAGAGGCCTCAGTTTCTCTCGGTCCTGACTTAATGGGGTCTCAGTATGTTGGAGGGGGATCCTGACAGGCTAGTTAAGGGAACAGAGGAAGCTCATACTGAGTAATGTGCGTCCTACAGAAGCCACTTGACCTTATCTATATCTCTGCAGCTCTGTCTGTAGACATCTCCAGGCCTTTACCAAAGTTCATTTTGAACATCACTGCTTGTTTCAGTGGTAAGGAGATTTATGACAGCACCTGAACTGCAGTATTAAAGAGTGGTTTTGTGCCCCAAAATCACTGTGGCAGAGGTAGGGGCCACCCAGAGTCACAACACAAGGTTCCACCACCGCTGCCTCATCAGTGAATTTCCCCCCAGGGGACACCCTTTCAGCTCTGGGTTTCATTTCTATGAAGGAAAGTTCATTTCTTTATGGCTTCATACATGTTTGCTTTTCAGTAACAGCACAAGTTCCTAGAGGAGCCAAGATATGCTTTAGACCTCTGCTAAACTCTCTTTTGTCCCTGCTGCAGGGCTGGGTACCAGATTAAGAATGAATGACTTTGGTTCATCTAATTTGACAACCTCTCTGTACATGTGATCTGTCTTTTCAGTTAGTGTTCACAGAGTATTCTAAATATCACCTGTATCTGATTTTTCCCAGGCATATAGGAAGGTTATTCTCCTCTAGGCTCCTTAGAGAGGTGTGGGGCCAAGTGACAAACTCTTGCACATTTAATTGCTGGTATGAGCTCTTCAGTGATCACATGACTGTATGCTGAGATGGTAGCAATGAAAGTTGGTGGAGCCTTTACTGAATGCACTCCTGATAATTACAATGAGTAAACTGATTCACACTGACATGGAGAGTGAGGGAGAAATGGACTTCAATGTCTTTCACCTTTGAGATTGGGAACTGCCACCTCAGCCTAACTCACCTATCTGGATGGGCACAATTGGAAAGGGACTGTCCTCAAGCTGGCCAGTACAGGCAGGGAGGCTGGTCTCTGGCCTGTAGGCAGTCTTATCCCAACAGCACATTCCAGGAGCAATCATGCACACACACTGTGGTCCGGAGGGGAGCCCTGGTGCATGGCAGAGAATGAGGGGAAGCCGCCCCCAAACCAGGATCCACTGGACCTGTGCTGTGTGTGTCACGTGGGGTTTTGTTCTACGAAACACTGGACAAAGCTAAAGTCAGCGTGGCCATCTATAACTGAATGTCATCATTCTCGTGCAGGTTTCTCAACCTTGATGCCACTAAGAAGCGGGACTGGAGAGCTCTGTGCTGTGTGGGGCTGTATGGTGTATTACGGAAGTTTAGCAGCACTCTTCACCTCTACCCATTAGATGCTGGTGGTGTTCTCCTCTTTAGTACTGAAAACCAAATACCTCCCAGATATGGCCAGACATGCCCCGAGCACAGTTCAGAACTACTGCTCCAAGGCCTCGGTCTCTTCAGCTGTAAAATGGGATCAGACATGAACTTCCTAAGATTGCTAAACTCATCATGTACACACAGCACGTGTCACTGCTTGGGGAAGGATCCAAGCAAACTCCTTGATGTAAGGAACTGAAGAGGGAATTCATATGTGATCTTAAAGGCTTTCTACTGAGCTGCATTTTGACTTCTGGGCATGATATTTCATTCATGCATACATATCTTATATCTCTCTGTTTAAACTCTTGTATCAGATTGAACTGTATATTCCTTGAGGGCAGTGACCAAATTTTATACATTTGAATTCTCCCATATTATTTATTTGTTTCTTTTTGGTACCGGGGATCGAACTCGGGATCTTATGCTTGCGAGACAGGTGGCAGAACCACCGAGCTAAATCCCTGGCCCTCCCAAATTATTTATTAGTACATGCTGAGTGACTAGTAAAAAGCTGCTGATGAATTGTTTTCGTACAAAAGACTCAAGATCCCTCCTGCTTGGGAAATCTCTCCTTCCTTCTCACCATCCACTCCCCTTTCTTCTTCCACTGGTAGAACTCCTACTTGACCCTCAAAACCCATTTCTCAAACCTTCAGAAAATTTTCCATGATCACCTCCTCTCTGTCCTCAGATTTAATCTTTGTATTGCCTTTTTACTTTATAAATGTTTCTCTTACTGAACTTATCAGTGTATTATCTTTTATTCATTTATATTTTCCTATGTTTATAGACTGTCAGCCACTTGATTGTAGGTGATACATCTACATTTTGGTTTTTACTATATCCAGCATGATGGCCAGTATTAGTATGAAGTCAGTGTTTGTTGAACGAATGAGGGAGTGAATGAGTAAGTGAATAGAGGCAGGAACAAAAGAGCAGGAGGGTGGAGGTTTATGGCATCAGCGCTCTTCCTATAAATACCTGTCAGGTAGGTGAGAGCATCAAAGGGCACCTCCTTGTAGTCACTGAGAAACATCTGGATCTGCCGCATACTAATCCTTAAGTCAGATTCATTGAATTCATATGGAATATTCCAGCCTGCAAGAGGCAGAGAAGAATCAGAGGCCTCAGTGCTGAGAGCTCTTAATTTCCACTCAGAGAAGAGCTGGTAAAGTTCAGCATCATTATGGATCAAGAGCCTCCTTCAGCGTGTGAAGATAGAGCACCAGGCCAACGATTAGCCTTGACATTTACCACCAACGTGGGAGCCATTCTGCCCAAGAAAACATAAATTCTAAAATCAATTTTCTTATGGGTCTTCCTATTTGTTAAGGAAGATGTTAACATCCTGGGATTTGTGGAATGAGAATTATTAAGCCTGGCAGGAATACTGTGGTAATAATACACAGAGCTCCAAAAATAACACTAATGCATAGCTGAGAGCAGTAGCTAAGATTGGGAAACAGGATGAAGCTGGTTTTGAGAATTCCCTTCCTTGTACTCATGGGAGACTCCAGCAGCCACTTCCATTTCCAAGTTAATGACAAATGCCCACTGGGGCTGGAGAATGACATAAAAATGTGTGCCCCGGGCCTGGTGTGAGACAGCAGGGGGTGCTATGCTTAAGAGAGGAGTTTAATTTCCTCCCAAACATTCATATGCAAATTAAAAATATAACAAAATCAATTCATGTATTGGTAGGGTAGTTGGTTGAGAGCCAAACTGCTGCATGGTTCTCTAGAGATCTGGCATGGATAGGAGACTGGTAGTAGGAGAAGCACAAAATCCAGATCCAGAGGGGTTCTCTTCTTCCCTCTATCCTCTATGCAAGAGTCACGAGTCCTGGGGAGCTAACTGGGGCTGGCTGATGTGCTGAGGTAGAAGGAAAGGAAGCAGGTGCTCAGAGAAAATCACCATGAGGACAACTGTCCCTTTAGCTCACCCATTGTCCTGCTAGGAATCTCCTGAAGTTGGTCATTTCAAGGCTATTGGACAGAGTCAAAGGCAGCCCATAGGTGAGAAAAAGGTAATCCACCTTCAACATCATGATGATATGGGATTTGTATTTGTTCTATTTAGTTACTCCTTAATTAGGCCATGGAGAGCTTATATAAATCAATCAATCTATCAATCAATCACTTATTTTTTTAGAAGCAGCACAATGTTCCAGGTATATTGCTGTCTTTCATTGTCATGTACAGTATGTAGAGAGAGCTGCAGGAAACATTATAAATTACCTGGTGACAGCTCCCTGGAGGACAGTCATTGTGCCTAAGATAGACAAAGACATGCCAAAGGGAAGAGCCTCCAGTCCTCTAGTCCTCAAATTATCACATTGCTTCATGAGGTAGAGGCCTCTGATTTTGGGGTGACCCCTCTTCCCTAACACTGACATTGACCTGGTTATAGGGTTGCCAAATTTAGCAAATAAAAATACATACCACCCAGTGAAAATTTAATTTCAGATAAATCACAAATCATATTTAGTTTAACTATGTCCCAAAGACTGCATAGGACAGATTTGTACTGTATTTTACTGGCCAACCCTCTCGAATGCAAACCTGAACACACTCCTCTAAACAGACCTGCATCAGTCCGTGCTCATTCCCCAGGCCACCCAGCTATGCTGTCATGACTCACCTAGGGGTCCAAAGTTCCTCCTCTCTTGAACAATGGCATGGAAGAAGCAAAGACCAAACAACAGCTTCTGCCACATCACTGGCTTTGTACAGCTTTGGAAGAACGTGGGGTCTGAGATGGGATCGTTGAGGTAGGAGTGCAAAAGGTTGGCCCGGAGCCCTTTGGGGGGCTCATTGGTCATTTTGATCCCATTCTGGAGAATGCTGACTGGAAATTTCTCTGATGGATAGCTGGTTAACCAGAGTCTAGAAAACAGTAGGCCCAAATGTTCAAAACAATGCAGTAAGTTACATTTAAAAAAATCACAAAAACAATAGCTACCATTTATGTCCTTCATTTATTTTAATCGTCACAGCCACCTGTGAGGAAGGATTTACCATCCCCATTCACCAGTGAGGAAACAGAGGTATGCCAGTTAATTTTAACTGTCAACTGGATAAAGAGATTCCTAGAGACTGGATGTATCACAGGGCACTATACTCATCAGTATATGATGAGTATATATAGAATCCACGCTATTCCCAGCTGAATGTGCTGCTAGAAGGTGGGGCCCAGCTGGAGGAGGTGGAGCATGCCTTTGGAGAGAATTATCTCTCGCTGGAGCTCTTCACCTTGCTCTGCTTCCTGGTCACCATTATGTACATAGCTTGGTTCCACCATACCCTCTGCCATGATGCTTCTGCTCTGGACCCAGTCAGTGATGGTGGACTGAAACCATAAGCCAAATGAAACCTCCTCCTTTCAGTTGTGGGTGTCAGGCATTTTGTACCAGCGATAGGAAAGCTGACCAGTACAAGAGGCATGGAGAATCAGGTGAGCTTTCCAAGGACACACCATTTAAAGCAGCTGAACCGAGATGAGAGCTTGGGTCTCTGACTCCAAAGCCCCTGCTCTTTTTTTGTTTTGTTTTGTTTTTTAAGACACGGTCTGGCTTTGTTGTAGTCAAGGCTGGCCCTGAACTCACTAGGTAGCCCAGACTGGCCTTGAACTCATGGTGATCCTCCTGCCTCAATCTCTCGAGTGCTGGGATTACAGGTGTGCACCACCACGCCCTGCTTAAAACCCTTGCTCTTAATCCCCTGCTTCTCCCCAGTGGGACTTCCTGAACACCTGTGTGGGTAAAGTACTATCCTAGGAACCACCAGAGTGACCAAAGCGAACAAAGCATTATTTCTAGCTCCAGATACCCACAGATTCCTAGATTCTTGCTAGAGGAGGAATTTGGGACCAGGCAAGGTATAAAAGATGGATACTAGAGTGCAAAGCATTATAAAATCAAAATCACAAGCAGGGCAGAAATAATGAGGTGTGGGGGGTCCATGGAAAGAAGAGGTTTCAACAGGTTAGAGGGAGCCAGACAAATAGTAGAGAGTAAAAATGGCAGGCTATGGCCAGAGAGCTAAATCCAACCTGTCACTTGTTTTTGTAAATAAAATTTTATTGGAACATGGCTATGCCCTTTCATTTATATTTTATCTATGGCTGCTTTCAACCTACAACTTTAGAGCTGAAGAGTTGTGACAGAGACAGTATGGCCTACAAAGCCTAAATTATTTACTATTTGGCCCTTTAGAGAAAAAGTGTGCTAACCTCTGTTAAATATTTCTGTATTGAAAATGGGTCTTGATAATATGAGGAGTTTCATTCTTTCTTTCTTTTTTAGGAGTTTCTTGTTTAAAAGAAAAAATTATTTATCCCCACAAAAATGGGAATATATGTAAAAATGCATTTTATTTTAACCTTTAAGGCTTTCGGTTTTTAACATTTTTATTAGTACATGTTTGCAGTATATAATTATTACATTCATCATGGGGGGTTGGTATATGTTGTGAAGGTATTTAGAAGGAAATAAAATTTAAAATTTTCCCCTATAGGCTAACATTTTGGCATATCTTACTCCAGGCTTTCATTAATTTGGCTTTCCTACCAAACTCAAGCTACACATATGTATCTTGTTTTTTGTTTGCTTGTTTGCTACACATTGGAGAGACTTCCAACAGGGGGACTTGGTGATGGGACGTCTTTAGTGATATAGGACACACTCAGGGTCCATGAACAAGTGGCCGTGGTCCCGGCCCCAGGCTGGGAGAAGAAATAAGAGTTCATAAACTGATGGCCTAAGGCTTGACTTCAGCGTACAGATGGGCAATGTTTGACTCACACCATTTATACACACACACACACACAATGCTATACCATATTTTTGAAGTAGTTGCCAACATTTCAAAATCAAGGGCTTTCTTTTACAATTCAGGCATCCCATTTTCCCTTTAAAGTCATCAGAAGGGCCAGGGATTTAGCTCAGTGGCTCTATTGTCTGCCTCACAAGTGCAAGGTCCCAAGTTTGATCCCTGGTACCAAAAAAAAAAAAAGGTAGCAAGGGCCGGGGATTTAGCTCCTGAGTTCAATCCCTGGTACCAAAAAACCCCCAAAAAACTAGGTAGCAGGCTGGATTTGGCCCATCTGCCAACTTTATTCCCTGGCCTAGAATAAGAGAATGCCTGAACACTTGAGTTCTGAGAAGGGCTTTGAAGTCTATCTGGTTCTCTTCTTTGTTTTACGAATGCAAAAAACTAAGGTTCAGCTTTGCTGGGCTATAACATTCACACAAAACAAGTGGCTGTTTCCAATGTTGATTAAAATTCCACAGAGCCCAAAAATACAGGAATAAAAGAATGACAAATGGCGCCTAGACTACTGGGGGTATTTTCTTTTAGACAAATAATTATTTTTAAAAATCAGTCTTGATGACATTTAATCTACCTTGCTAGACACATCTGCTGTCATTTTCCCTAACAACTTCTTAGAGCATGTACCCCAGAATTCTAAGCTAACTTAGTATTCCCTACTATATCACTTTGCTTTTATAAATGCTGCCCTTCTGAATAAAATGTCTTTCCTGGCAAACTCCGATTCATCTTTCAAAACCCCAGCCCTCCAGACCTTCCCAGTTTTCCTGTCCCCTTTCTGCACTGCATGGCTCTTCAGGTATCACACAGTACCAACATTATGCACTGTGTCCTGTCTTCTGCTGGAATGAGAGTTTCTTAGAGGTAGGGCTGTGTCTTGGCATCTTTGTATTCCCAGCTACCAGCGTATCTGTAGAGGTGGGGCCCAGACACAGGCAACGGTGGGGCAGCTTCTCACCTGAACCTCGCACTGGTGCTCTCAGGAACAATTACCTCCTCACAGATCTTTTCCAGCGTAGGCATCCAGCTTGTGGCCAGATGGCAGTTCTGTAAGACCACCCAGGTTCCGTCTCTGATGGCAGTGTGGATCATTTTGGCAGCAATAGGGCCTTGGCCTTGACCAAGGGAGATGGTCTGTGTTTTGGCGCCTCCCATTCCAAGGTCATCTGCAAACTTCAGCAGGCCTAAGGCAGGAGGACAGGGGCCTCTGAGAGTGCAGGTCAGCTAGGAACATCCTAACAGCAACAACACAAAGTGAGGGGGCACATTAAATTTTAGTTTCAGAAAGAACCTCACTGGCTTCTGTTAACTGAAAAATAAACATCTCTCTGGGAAAGCCTTGGACATGTGATAAGATGGCAGGAGAAGCTGTAATAATGAACTCCCCCTTTGGCTTTAAACATATAGATGTTCTTGATATAAAACATTACGCAAACTGAAAAGAAAACAAATCAAGGTTTCAAAGAAAGGAAAATCTTTTGGTGCCAAAAGTGAATAGGAACCTCAAAACTGAAGGTGAACAAATAACCAAACATATTTATTTTTACAAATCGATTTTAGTAGGCAATACAGCATTTTTTATGGTGAGATTAATAAGTGTCTTTCACATCTCTCTTACTCAGGAATAGCTAATGTTATTAGATTTGTGAATATTTTCAGAGAAATTTTATGTATTTAAATATAGGCATATATACTATTAAACTTACATGAATTGGAGAGAATACTGCATTTGCTTGTTTTGCTTAACAATGTACCTTGTAGATCTTTCCTGTATCAGTACATACTATATAAAACCTTTATTCTTTCATGGTTAGGCAGTGTTTCACCATTGGAAAATACCATACTTTATTTAACTAGCCTAGAGGGTGCAGTTTTGATGTCCATGGGAAGCCTAGTTTTGCATTCCTGGAACTGAGACTTATGTGTGAAGCTAGGAACTGCAAAGGGCTATGCCTTCATGTTAAAAAGGCCAGAAATCTGACTACTAACTCTCAGAAGCATCATGGAAGCTTGGCACTAACCTGGACCCTGGGTGGAAAAAATGAACAACTCTGAAATCAAAACACTTAAGTTCATGCCACATGCAGATGAGGGATATGAATCTATAATACGTTACGGTGGGGGATTGCCTAGCTGAGAAATTTCCCATAAAATTGATCTAGAACAGTGGTGGCAAACCTACGGCATGCATGCCACAGTAGGCTGTTATCACTGAAAGCTCTAAAAGGTCTGACATCACTGACCTAGAATGTCATGGTCCCTGACACCAGTGTTTTCGTATGCAAAGTTGTTCCATCACTCCCCAAACCCAAGGTATATAAGACTTCCCAAAATAACCCAAACTTAATTATTTGTGAACTCACTATAAAAAATACAAACTAGAAGAGAAAGTACATCACCATTAGGAATAGTCAGCATATAGAACAATCAGATTGAATACCCTAAGGATTACATATGGTGTCTGTTATGGGCTGAATGTGTTCCTCCCCAGTTCATATGCTGAAAGCCTGATCCCCATTTCTCAGAATGTGACTGTAATTAGAGATACGTCTTTACAGAGGCAATTAAGCTAAAATGAGGCCTCAAGGTTAATCCACTATGTCTGGTGTCTGAAGAGAAGGAAGAGAAAGAGGGAGAGAAGGAAAGGGGACAAGGACAAGAATATGGAAATAAAAAAGAGGTTAGAACACAGACACATGGAGAGGGAAGACCATGTGAAGACACAGGGAAAATATGACCATCACCAAGCCAAACGGAGAGGATTCAGAAACAAACCAACCCTGCTGACACCTTGATCTCAGGCTTCTAACCACTAGAACTGTGAGAAAATAGACTTATGTCTTTCAAGCTATCAGCCTGTAGAACTTTCTTATGGCAGTCCTAACAAACTAATATAGTCTCTGAAAAATACCATAAAAGAAACTCATCTAAAACTCAGGAAAACAGGAACATAAACCATAATACAATTCAGACTCCTACTTGAAACATGCATGGATTTGGAACAAAACAAAACTTTTAGAAGTGGAAAGGATAGTCATTTGAAGATTAAAAACTCAAAGCACTGATTACAAGACCAGGTTGGATATAGCAAAAGAGAGATTCAGTATAGCAAGGTCTAAAATCAATGATCCATCTAGGAGAAATGAGCACCTTCAGCATCCAGGGTATGGTATCCATACACCATTGCCTGTGGAAGGAACTGGGTTCCTGCAAGAATTGTTTGTTTCCAGGTTTGGGGGAAGAAACCTACAAGACAAGCCTGGAATACACAGTAGTTCTAGAAGGCAGAGAAGCTATGAAAACTTATTCAGGTTGTGCAGAAAGTACATGGGCCTGAGGGTGCTCCCATAGCCCACAGATTGAATAACCTGAGCATCAAAAAGAACAATAATGGCAATGGAGTCAAACATTAGCACATTTGAAATACCCAATACAGTGGACCCTTGACTTAGGAACTTATTTCATTCTCGAGGGCTGGTTGTAACTCAAGTTGGTCAACTGAAGGCTCAGGCTCCTCTGCACAGCCTTCAAAGTCTCTCTCCTGTACACAGGCAGATCTCAGTGTCCTTGGAGAGACATTGGCCCAGGATTTCTCAATTAACCCCACCCAGGAAAGGATGCTGTAATGTTCCTTCCAGAACTCTTTAAGGGTTAAATCTGTTTCTGAGACCATCTGGAAGCACAAGTGGCTGGTATTCAGGTCATAACTCAAAACTCTGTTTGTAAGCTAAAACTAAAATTCTGATCATAACCCAACTTGTTTGTATGTCAGGCTGGTTGTAACTTGAGGGTCCACTGCACGTTAAAACACATGCATTCACAATGGCACAAAAATCTTAGTGGTTTACTATTCACTTTGGAGCTTACTAGGACATTAATTCAATGTTTTGAGTGCTGGTAATAAAGAATCAAGCATATATTCTACTTGTACTGTTTGAACTATATTCAGAGAAAACCAAAGAGTTGGCAAAGGACAATTCTTCTCTATAGAAGAGTTTCAGCTAATGAATGTGGAAGGAAAGATAGAATTAAAAATAAAATATTACCACTTGGCAGCCCCCAATGAAACAATGGACCTTGGTAATGATTTTCGAAGTCCACTGAAGCCATTAAAGTCAGTAGTTCCCAACCCTGGCCACATAATGGAATTACCTGAAAGGCTCTCTGAAACAGGAAGCCTGGGTTTCATTCTAAAGATTTTAATTTAATTGTTGTAGGGTACTTTGAGATTTTTCTTAAAGCTCATCACACAATTCCAATGTGCAAAAAAGATTGAGAAACATGGCATTAGGCGAGAGGCTGATGGGAAACTTTGTAAGGGAGGAAAACGAGGAGGGCAATGCTTGGCCCCACTGATTAGTCCTAATAAGAAAAGGGCCAACAATCAGACAGTAACTCCTGATGTGAGACCCCTGGAGGGACTCAGTACCTATAAAGTTGCCTGTGAAATCACCCAGGCTGCATGTGGTCAGGCTTCTGGAGTATGGGAATAGGTTAAATACACCTCTGGGTGCAAGCTGCCTCCCTCTGCCAGCATGGCATCATCTTATCATTAATTTAGCACCATCAGAATAATCAGATCATATCATGGCCTTTTCTCCATTTCTCTGCTTTATTTTTCTTGGCTTCCCCCTTGTTTATCTTTTATTAATTTCCTACCTAAAGCGTATAGGGGAAAAGGGCAGAGGTCATGGATTGCTCCTTGATAATAATGTTTTGGTGCTTACAGGAACCCAGAACCAGCTCAGTTCAGCTCCCTCCTCCCACATGTTTCCAGGGTCAGGGATGCTGGCTTTCTACAGGGTGAGGGTACATGCCAAGCTCCTCAGCTCATTAACAGGAGGATGTCAATTTTGTCACCTGCACTTCTTGTACTACTACTTCATTCAGCAACAGAGAAAAGAAAGCATCCAGATCCTCCAACGGAACAGAAAACTACTCTATGCTTGTCAACACTCTATACCCTTCTACATGCATGAACTGTTTCTGGAAAGAGACACAGTAAGCATGGCTACCTGGCTGGGAGGTAGTGAGGAAGAAAGTGCCTTATACCCTGTACCAGGCTTTCTCAACCATGGCTTTCTAGACCAGGCCATTTTTTGCTGTAAGATACTGTCTTGTGCACTCTAGCATGTTAAGCAGTATCCTTGGTCTCTGTCCTCAGCAAAAATGTCTGTACACATTGCCAAATGTCCTCTGAGGTAGCAAAGTTCCCTGGTTGAGCCATGATCCTATTTGATTTTTTAAAAATGTGGTATTATTCCAATTTTTTTAAATTAAAGAAGCAATTAGAGAAAACGGTTTAAGATAAAGATGATAATCCAGTAACTAGCAGATGACTCTAATCCTGGGTTTGGCCCATAAAACATTTTTTAAAAATTAAAAAAAATTTTTTTTGGTACCAGGGATCGAACTCAGGACTTTGTGCTTGTGAGGTAGGCACTGGAACCACTGAGCTAAATCCCCAGCCATATCACATCTTTTAGAAAAATATTTCAGTGAGTTACGGAATCAGATTTTAAAATGAGCCATTTCTGCATTTCTATGTTCTCTTGAAAAGTTAATCTGTAATTCCGGCTCACATTCCCAGATAGCTCAATTTCCGGGTGCTGAGCAGCAGCTGCCCCCTTAGGGTAGGAACTGACACATTCAATTCCTTCACTCCCACCTTAGCCTGTTAAGTACTTGGCCTTCAAAGCCAGCTGAGTTTGATACCTGTTTAAAGGACACGCTATGGTCAACCACCCACAAATGATGGGATTTCAAGGTTCCTCATATTCTGTCCTTACCTGCCATTGGGTCTGCACTTGGAGACAAGACGAAAATCAGTGGTGCACAACAACTCGAATCGTTGTAGGATCCTTGGAGATCGAATGTGGGGGCTTCAATGTACACATTCCCCATAAACTCAGCAATGAAACCCCTAATGGCCGGGATTATCTTGTCAGGCCGCAAACATCGGAGGATGACCAACCTCTCCAATCCTTCAAGCAACTTCCAAGGTTCAGGAAATGTCTCTTCATGGGGCCAGGGTGAGTCGTAGATCAGCTTCCATTCATTAGTATTTTGTTCCAAATGTTCCTTCAGGCCTTTCAGTTTTGGCAATGAGGATGCACGTACAACTTCTGCCCATGCCTTCTCGGACAACCATTCAGAAGCTGGATTGGGGTAGGGGTTATCCAGGGCAATACCTCCAGTTAGAAGGAAGAACCAAATTTCCTCTGAAATTAGCCTTTTTTCTTTCAAGATGCCGATGGTCAGGAGGAGGGAAAAGAGCAGCTTGTCCTTCTCAAACAGAGAGCGGCACACGTTGTTGTAGATGCTCAGGGTGAAATGTTCAATGATGTATTCAATGCGGAGATCCAGTTCCTCGCTCTTGGTGCTGTTGGCTAGGGAAAGCATGTAGAGGTTGATGAACCATGTCAGGGAGTACTGGTACATGGGATCTATGTTGGCCAGGTCAGAGATACAGAAGAAGATGGTGGCAGAGTGCACAGCCACGGGCTTGTAGCCCATCCGAGTCTTATCGATCTCCATTTCTGTCTTTGAAGCGATTTCCTGTTTCTCTGAGATTTCTTCAGATAGTACTTTGGAGGAGGAGAGAATTCTGATGGCTGTTTCATCCTCTAGAATGTTGCCCTGAGACAGGGAGAGAACCTCCAAGATCTTATCTTCAATTTCTTTTAGCTGCTTCTTGTTCTCGGCACTTTCCACAATCAACTGATTCTTTTTCTCTTCCAGTTCTGGCTTCTCCTTGGCAGCCACAATGCCAAGGAGTTGATCTTGGAGACCCAAGGGGGTGATCATGAAGTTGAGGAGACAGACTTTCACAGCGACTTCCGGGAGGTAATGTGGGTTCCTTAAATGAGTGGTGATGTAAAACTTAAATTCCCTGGAGTATTCGATGATATTTTCACCCAGTCTCATGTATTCAACCCCTTGCTGCTTGAATGTTGTCTTGAGCAAGATAGGTTCAATGAAAGCATCCAGATCTTCCCCAATGTTTTCCAGTAAGACAGGGGTGCCAAACTGTAGGGCGTTTTCCAGTGTCCTTACATAACTGGCGTCAGAGAACTTGATGACAGACAGTTTATTCGCTTTCTCCATATTCTTGATCCATTTATTGGCCTGCCCCTGTGGGTCAATCATTAAGGGCCAGCGTCTGGAATTGGACACAATGATGCCATTGTCTATGGAGAAGGAGTCAATGGGAAGCCCAGCAATCTGCCAGGCACGGATTTTTACAGGATCCCCTAATGTATTGCTGAGACTGAAGTCGCTGGAGCCTGGGATGATCTTGTCCTTACAGTTGGCCAACCATTCCTTTTGGCATCGGGCCCTGTAATCCACTGTGAAGGCACCCAGATAAGCCACAGTCCCTGAGGACACCAACACATCCCCTGTCAGATTAATATAGTGGATTCCCAGCTGGCGGGCAGCTTCTGTCCATCTGTCCTTCTCTCCACTGAGACCACTGATCAGCTTCTCTGCCCTGACCAGTTTTTGGGAGCAGATTTCGATGTTTTCCTCCAGTGTCTTTTTCTTGACATTCATCTCTTCAAATTCATCATTCAGGGCCTGGAGACGATCTTCCACCAGCTTGAGCTCTGCTCGTTTCTGGTTCAGTTTCTGCATCTGCGCATCCAGCTTCCCCTCGGCCTCCCTCAGGCGCTCCTGTTTGGGAGCTACCACCTTGGCCACACGGTCATACACCTCCATGGCCCGCACCCACTTGCACAGACCCTCACAGGCAGATGACACGTTTTTAATGACAGCTGGCTGGAATTCTGGGTGATCAATAAACCTTTCTCGGATCCGCTTCATGACCAGTGGAGGGATGTTGTCTTTGTCATATGACTTAAGACTCTCCAAGAATTTCAGGTCTCCGAGAATCTTTTTTGACACCCCCCAGTAGTCTTCTATCATCTTACCTGTTCAGTATAAGAAACAGAGATAGGCTGTATTACTAATTTCACCTGAGATATCTAGTTCTGCAATGGCTACCGCTTGGATCTGAGGGAAAATAATCCATCATGATGGGAGGGCTAGCCAACCTATCCATCTCACTTTTGATTTTCTCCCTTGACGTGTGTGCCAAAGGATCTTCCTTCAATTTCTCCATGATCCTGGGTGCTTCCTTACCATGAGCTCTTTTCCCATGCTTCAAGTTGCATCTAACTGGATCCTGAGCAGACCTCACTTTAAAAGCTCCTCCATGGAGAGGTTTCCCAGGACTCCTCTTACAAGGAGGGCCCCTCCTCCCCAAGCATTTTCTTTGCCTGCTAGTAGGCCTGTTCCTTGACAGTACTTATTATAATCAGCCATTTTTTGTTTACTTTCTACTGTAAGTATACAAAAGCTGTGAGCTCCTGCTGTGTTTTCTAGAATTTGATACAGTGCCCGATGCTCAGTTATCAATGGATATGGTTACTGCCCATTTGTAGATGAGAGGGCAATAGGAACTGTGGCCTGTGGATGGGCATGTATCTGGAATGTTCTTTCCCACGTCTGGGGAGCAGGCTGGAGGGGCACCAGTCAGTCTCCCACGTGATGAGCAATGGAACTGAGGGTGGCCTTGGGAAAGTGGCTTACAGGCTCACAACTGGACAGGAGGCTCTGTGGCCTGCCCTGCTCTCCTTAGCACTCACCAGCTAATCAAGCAGTTGCACCCTCATGCACAAACAGCGCTCCTTTTGTTGATAAGTTGGAAAAAATTTGAGAAACTTTCTGGCTCCTGATACTTGCCAACCTCAGGCTCATCAAAAAAGTTGTACTTTGAGACACTGTATGGAGTACAATGTGCTCCTCTGCTAAGTCCGAACATAGCAACTAGCCAAATATTTCCATGGAGGTTTTTGTTTGCTCTCTGGAAAGTGACCTGTTTCATTTAAATTCAAAGCATCGAAATCTAATTCAGTTGCTCATTTGCTCCATCTCAGTATTCTCACGAAATCCTACGTGTTTGATGAATAATATATACAATTTCCTTAAATTTTAAGTCATAATGGATTCTGTGCAGATCATCAATGATCTAATATGAGAAACAACACTCACCATCTGACCCAGCAAGTCTCAAACATGGCTGTACTCAGGAAGCTTTAAAAAAAATACTAGCACTCAGGTTGTACCCCAGAGCAACAAAATAAGTATCTCTAGGTGTGCCATGGGCTTCAGTGTTCTTTCAGTCCCCAGGTGATTATACGGTGCAGAAGTACTGGTGAGCTCATCCTTATTCAGGCAACTTACAGTGAGTGCCTCAGCAGTTTCTTTAAAGGATCCTGTGGTAAAGTTCACTCCCTGCTTGGCTATTCCTGATCTGCTTTGCATCTTTTTCAAGTGGTTGTTGGCCAGAAATGATCCAGACAAGAGAGAATGCTAAGCAAAGGGAAGCAGGAGCTAGAAGATCCCAAGCGAAGGACCAGAGAGTTCCAACATTTCAGAAGGAATGAAGGGATAGCAGGACTCTTCCCAGGACAGGAGAATTAGAGACAGGAAACAGTATTACAGGTGGTTTTAAAAGTCTTTGTTAGTTCTAAGACACTGGTCTTAACTCAAGGTCCTACCATGAATTGGAACTTTAAGGAGAATTAATAGGCATCTATTAAAACCTCTAGTTTAATTGTTTGAGGAGCTTTCCTCCCTTCTCCTATTCCTCTTTCTCCATTTCTCTCTGTTGCTCTGTTTCCCTCTCACCCTTCCTTCCCTCCCATCTTTGTCTGTTCTCCCCCTCATCCCCCACCTGCAGTTTCTTTCTCCACCTTCCTTTTCCCTTGTCTCCTTCTAAGTCTTCCTTCTGACTCTTGATTCTCCTCCGTCCCAATCCATCCTTTTCTCTTGCACTCTCTGATAGCCTCTCTGTGTGTTTCTTTCCCTATCTCTATCTCCTTTCTTGGTCTCTTTTGTTCTCATTTGTTCTCTCTCTGTCTTTGTGACTCCACGTGTATCTCTGCCTCTATTTTTTAACTCTAAGCACTTCTCTTATTTTCTGTTTCTGCTTCTCTCTCCCTGTGTCTCTCTCCTCTCTCCTGTCTCCACATCTCATGTATGCCTCTCCCTCTCCACCTCCCTCTTTTTCCATTTCCCTGCCTCTTTCACCCTCCCAGTTTCTTTCCCTCCTGGTCTCTCTGTTCATTATCTTCTGAATGTATGTGTGTGCATGTGCTCTGTGTGCACACATATTCACATGCATGTCTCCAGGATTCTGAGTGGCTTTACATTTATTCCTGTCTTACAGTCTATTCTGTCTTTCTTTGTCTCTCTTTCATTCTTTTTCTCTCTCTCTCTCTCTCTCTCAATCTCTCTGTATCTCCATTTCTCTTTTTCTCACATGTACTCACAACCTGACTCCATGTGTTTGTTCTACACCAGGACTTCGGTTTGTGTAATCTTCCTTTTGGAATGATTTGCAGGCTGTGACCTGGACTAAGCTTTGCTCCACTCACAGACACTTACGTTTTCCCACCTGACTAAGAAGTGAGGGAGCACCGGAGGGTCTCTGGGTGCACATGCTCCTCCAGGTACCTTGCTACATTCCTCCAAAAGTCACAGGGCCTGCTTGGGGGCCTGGAGCAGCTTGAAGGAGGGAGGGCACTGGCATCCTTCGTGCCAGGGAGGAACAGCCTGTGCAGGTGACTGGGACGGGGCGGGAGTTACCAGAGCCACTGGGGTCCGGCTTCCTCTCTGGCCTCTGCCCCTTCATGACACAGACACTCTCCATGACCAGCTTGACTGGGCCGGGTGGGTTCTGCATTGACTTCACCAGTGAGACGTCGGCTGGGTTCAGGGTGTCGAGCGCAGCGAGTGCAGCCTCCAGTGCTGGCATGGCCTCGGCCAGGTCCCCCTCGCATTCGTTCTGCAGAGCACAGGGACAAAGAGGGTAAGTGATCGGAGAGAGGAGGCGGGAAGATGTGCTGTATTCCCAGGAGCTCTTTAAGGTTGAGGCCTCCTCACACCCAGCTCTGAGCCTGGGCAGCACCAGGATTGCACACCTGGCCTCTGGGGCTGGGTTTTCTTGTCCTGGGCCTTTGAACATTTACCTTGCTTGTGATCTTGAAACATTAAGCATCCTCAAATCAGGCTAATTAGAATTTTCATCTCTTCAAAGATTTATCATTTATATGTGTTGTAAAATTTCAAATCTTCTAGTTGTTTTGAAATATATAATAAATTGTTGGAAACTATAGTTACCTTTCTGGGCTATAGAACATGGAAACAAATTCTTGCTATCTGATTGTATTTTGATACCAATTTTTTTTTTAATTCTCTTATTGGAACATTTTAGGTATACAAAACAATTACATTTCATTTCTCATTGGGAATTGTACCTTTACATGATGCATCTTGGTTCTTATTTTTTCCCCATTCCTAGCCCTCCCTTCACCCCCTCCACCC